AAATTTTGCAAAGAATATATTACCTATAAAGCCACAGCAGAACTGTTGTGCGTCTCCGAGCAACACAGCGATGTTTAGTTTCTGAATGAATCCGCGTTTTGAACAAATCGTGTGAACCAATGATTCAAAACCCCATTCATAAACACCTGTATGAGTTTTTGTCTCATATTTATATCATATGATAAGCGATATCACACGAGCAGTGAGAGCAATATCACATGAGTGCTGTTTTTGTCACGAAGAACACGAGTGAAAATTTGATTTTATATAACAGTTCAGTAAATAAGAGGTTAATATTGTGCAAAATTTAAGCACATTATTGTGTTTTAATTTTGTTCAATTTTGCCAACGAAAATATTACCTAAAAAGCCACAGCGGAACTGTTGTGCATCTCCGAAAGAGAGCCGTTTACTTCATTCCTGAATGAATCCGCGTTTTGAATGAATCGTGTGAACAAATGATTCAAAAACCCATTCATAAAGAGAGCCGTTTACTTCATTCCTGAATGAATCAGCTGTTTGAACGAATCGACTGAAGACATTTACCGCCACCTGCTGGCAGATTTAGTTACTTATTTAGAGTATCATTTAATTAATAATAATAATAATAATAACAATAACAATAAAAACATTAAAGGGATAGTTCACCCAAAAAATGTTAATTCTGTCATCATTTACTCACTCTCGTCGTTTCAAACCTTTCTTTTGTGGAACATAAAAGGTATTTTGAAGACAGTTGGTAACAAAGCTGTTTTGGTTACCAGTGACTTTCATTGTATGAACAAAAAATACTGAGATGTTTCTCAAATTATCTTCTTTTATGTTCCATAGTTTATGTTAGGCCGTTTTAGCCTAAATGATTATGTGTAATACATTTTTTTGTTGAATCAAATACAATATTTCTAAAGCTACAATTTGTAATGTCTACTTGGTACTTCGTCATTTAACGAAAATATCTTTAAATAACCTTTTGTGGGTATTTTCACAGCGATTAATTAGATTAATTAAAGGGGTCATATGATGCAATCTAAACCAAAGTGAGAAATAAAATAAGCTGAAATATATATTTTTAAATCTCATTTTCATTTAGTTTAACTGAAATAAAATAGTTTTAAATAATGTTTTTACTTCTTTTTATCAATCTTTTTTTATTATTATAACCCTGTTTCAAACCTATAGCACAAGTTCAGGAGTCTGTTTGATTGATTGATTCATCAGAGTCATCTGTTCATGAAGCGCAGCACAGCTCGGGCTGTGACTCTCAGACGACTGTTTGTTACAAGCTTTGATTTCTGTTTCATCTTCCTTCAGGAGGAGCAACACGAGGAACAAGCTCGAGAGGATAGGGAGGATACAGAGGCTCATGTGACATTAACCAGCGCAGCGATTGGAGGAGCTGATGAGGCCAATCCTCTTCACAAATACATGATGATGCTCATGCAGGACAAACAGGAGGAGCAGGTACCTGGACATCATTTCAGCATCAGAACACAGACAGTTTGTCAGGATGTTTGTTTTATTTTCTTTTTAATATATTTTAGGATTACTCGTCTGTCTACTTATCTATTTAGCATTTTGACATTTTTCTCCACAAATGCTCTACTATAGTGTAAACAAATCTCTTAGTACTACATTTTTCAGTGTTAAAACTGTTTTTGATTCTAATTGTAATTACTGCAGTACATTATTTTATTTTTGGTAATTTTTTTTTTATTAAAGTATTAAAATTAATAGAGAGAGCGAGAGTTTTATATAGATATTATTTTAGTATCATAATTACATATTTTCCAGGTCTTATTTCCCCATGAGAACAAAATAATTTTTTTTAGGATATTTCTATATTTTATTCTGGTTGTAGTGATATGCCTTTTTTAATAGTGCAAAAAATCACTATTAAAGTTTTGTTTATGATAAAGGAATATTACCTCAAAAATAAAATTGAGTAAATAATTTATATATATATATATAATTTTAGTATCATATTTTTTATTGAATCAGTTTTTATTTTGATATTTTTCACAACTATATATAGTTATATTTGACTGTGTGTTAATGACCTTTCAGAGCCCGAATAAAGAGGCGTCGGAGAAGCAAAGTCAAGAAGAGGTTCTTCAGTCTGAGAATAATGACCGCAGGTAATAATGTGTTTGTGTGAGTTACTGTTTAATGAGAAACTCTTCATTACACACCTTCAATCTGTTCTGCAGCGTTGATCTGATGTCACGCGAGGAACCAGACGACGACTTCTGGTGAAAAACAAGTCCCCTCATTCAACTGCTGGATGATGATCTTCACGGTTTAGAGTTAAAGCTTTGAATATTAGCTGTATAATGTAGAGGGGGTTTCTAATTCACAAATGATTTGTGTGAATGATTGTTTTTAAGGCTGACTTGAATAAATGTATCTTTTGTTAATGTTCTGCGTTTGTGTTTCATTCATAAGAGCTGTTCAATCACAGCATGACAGAATATTAGAATTACACAAATGCTGAAAATGACACACGATTACAAAAGCTGTTCATTGTTTTGAAAGAAAACTCACTGAGACTCAGAAAGTCTTTTATTCTGTTGTATTGCTGTATAAAACACAATCACTGTTTTGAAGGCCATCG